GCCTGCGGAGCACGCCGGCAGCACCCGGGGGAGGGGGCACCAAACCGCTCCCCTGAAAGATGCGCGACAGGGCCGGCAGGTTAGAAAGGGTCTTGCCCAAGGTCACTCGGGGTTACTGGACGCCCCTTGCATACTAAGGGCCCCAGGAACCCGCTCCTGCCCTCCCTGTCTTCAGACTCAATTCCCAGAGGCCTGGGAAGCCCCCGAGTCCGGGAAAGGTTCGGCCGCTTCCTACTGCGACCGGGGCGTGGCTTCGTGCCCGGCGGGTATTTACAGAGCAGGGGACATTTCCTGCTACTGACTTGGGAGCAGAGTTTACAGCCGAGAAAACTGAGGCTGGGGACAGCGAGGTGATTTTGGCTAGGACCTGGCAATCAGAACAAAGAGGATAGCGAGGGCGAGCCGACTCCAGAGTTTAACCCAGTGTTAGATCCAAAGTTGGCCTCCTTGATGTCCTTGTCTTTCCCAGGGGTGACCCAGAGTAGAAGCAGAGCTTGGCTAAATCTGCAGGTTTGATCCAGAGGCCACGGCTGCCTTGAAGTAGGAGGTAACACCAAACCCATGAGGCTTCCCAGACCCCATGTGTATTCGCTCACTGTGTATCTATTGGTGTGTACACTGCATACGCTCTGAAGACACAGCAGTGAGCAGCCATTGCTCAAGAGTACATTCCAGAGAGTGAATCAGTGGGAGACTGGGCAGACAAGACCACTCTTCCCAACTACCCAGTATGTGGAGAAGGCAGGGACCGGGGGCCCGGTTGTCGTCGTCAAAGTTAGAATAACTTTGAACGTCTATGCCTCGTCGAAGATAACGCTTCCAGCCTCAGTTTCTCACTTCCCAGAGATCTGGGGAATAGGTTAGTGAGTTGAGAGTACCCTGGACCTAACATGCCCTCAATGAACCCAGGAGCCTGGTGAAGCGTGGTACTGCCACTTCCTCTCCGTATCACCCTGGCCCCTCCATTTCCTTATAACACAAAGGGATTATAACTCCTCCTGGTGGCAAAGATATTGTCAGAACCTTTCATGAGTGCAAAAGCTCAGGACACGGGGGCTTTACCAAATCAAAAGTAAATTAAAGCCAAGTGTGGCGGCAGCACACACCTTTAATCTCAGTACTGGGAGTCAGAGGCAGGTGGGTCTCTGTGAGTTTGAGACTGGCCTGGACTACAGAGTGAGTTCCAGAACAGCCAGGGCTATGTAGAGACCCTGTCTTTAAAAAAAAAAAGGGGGGTGGTAAAATTATTTGCTTTGGATGCTGTGAACAAACACCTCAAACAAGCGAAGAGGTCTAGAGACTTGATAACCTGCTCTTGCTCTCCGTGGAGAAACCTTAGAAGCAGAGCTGGGGGTGGCTGAGTCCCAGGTGAGGAGGCTGAGGCTCCCTCCAGGACTGGAAACACAACTCACACCTCACACTCTACATTTCCAGTTTGTGCACTCAGACAGACTCACACAAGGTCAGAGAGTCGGGTTGTGCTCCTCAGCTTCCTGAGTGGTCCCTAGCATGGGAACACGGTGGCTTCATTTACAAAATAATCTGTCCGAAAGCTTGGCAGAGGACTGAAGGAGCAGAGCAGGGTAACATCTGAAGATGAGGCCCAGGCTTCACCTTGTGGCTGGGAGAGCACAACTGGGTGGTTTAGGTTGCTATGGCTCAGCCTGTACCTGGCTGGATACTATGGGACTGGAAGGCTAGACCAGAGCCTGGGCTGGCAGATGTGGGACCTGAAGATAGTCATGTAATAGTCACCTTATATGCCCTCAGTAGTTTTTGTTTTCTTGGAGGCAGTGTCTCATGTAGCCCAGGCTGGCCTTGAACTCACTAGGTGGCCAAAGATGACCACCTAGCTCTTCTGATCCCCCTGCTTCCATCTTTTGGGTGCTGGGATAAAGCATGTGTGTCATCACACCTGGCTTTGTGATGCTAAAAATAGAACACAGAGCTTCAGGCAGTCTAGGCAAACACCCTCTCAACTGAGAGCCCTGGTCTCTGAGATACAGCTATACAACAAAGATTGGGGGAGCAGGGGAGTGGGGGCCTGGCTTCCTTGAACCTTGTACAGCAGGCAAAATTCAGTCTTTTTCCATTTGACCTCCTCACTGGCAGCTGGAGCTATGCCATGGTACTTCTGCCTAAAACCTGCCCGGCTTCCTGTTTTCTTAGGGTAAAGAGCAAAATTCCTGTGTCATGAACTCCAAGTTTCTTCACCTGTGCCCGCCCTAGCTTCCAGGGCACCTCCGAGTGACTATCAGTAGTCTCCTGTCTCACCTCCTCTCTGCCTCTTTTCCTGATAAACATCCTGCTCATCAGATTTTAGCCCAGCCCAGCTCTGTATTCCAAATGCCCAGCCACACAAGTCATGGGATATGTGTGTCGGAGGTTAAGTCCATGTGGGCATGAACTCTGAGTTCATGTGTGACTTCTAAGATTTGGTCTGGGGCTGCTTGCTAGGCATTAATGAAAGCCACTGACAGAAAGAACCTTTTGAGAGAACTGGGGACCTTGTAGGATATAAAGCTTCATTACCCTTTGCAATGATATACTGGAGTCATCTCTCAGCTGTGGAGAGAGGCATTCATTCATTCATTCATTTATTCAGCACTGTCTCTGCCAGATGCTATCAAAGGGTACCTCAAGGAACATAGCCCAAGTGCCACTTTCTAGTTGGAGGGACATCATCTTGATTCACAGCACATCTCAACCTTCCTAGTACTGTGGCCCTCGAATACAGTTCTTCGTGTTGTGGTGACCCCCGGCCCCCACCATAAAATTATTTCATAACTAGAATTTTGCTACTGTTACAAATTATAGTGTAAATATCTGATATGCAACCCCCAATGGGGCTCGAGCCACAGATTGAGAACCACTGATCTTCAGCAAACAAATCAAGACAGAAGAGTTACCCAGGGCCAGGGTGATGGAGCTGGAGGGAACCTAGAGTTCTCGTGGGGACATAGGGGAAGGGAGGGGAGTGACAGGGACACACTAATGCCCTGGACTTAAGCTGCTGTCTCCCTGACTGAAGGCAGGCACTGAAGAGGTAGGACTCAGTCTGTGGCTTCAGAGGCAGTGGCCCGTGTTAGCTCTGCAAATCCAGAAAGGCTCATGGCAGCTGAGTCCATAGTAAAATGACAGAGGAAAACATACTCTGTCTTTGTTGTTTGTTTATTCTTATTGTATTTTTCAGTGCTGGGAGCCTTAGTGTGTGCTGGACAAACACTCTGTCACTGAGCTACATCCCAGCCACAACTTGGAATCTGAAGTTACATCCACCTAGGGTGCATGGTGGGACTGCCACATGCCAGTGATGTGACCTCCACTTTGGTGAGCATTGGCTTCGTCATGTCAGGTGGGAACAGGGTGGCTTCCTCATAAGGATGCTGTGAAGCAGAAGAGGTCATGACAGTTCCCCGGGGGAATCTTAGCAGATTTTGTTAGCATGATTACCATGTATAAAAGGCCCCACCTGGACTTGGGGACCCAGACCAAGGGAACCAAGTAAGTTGAGATTGGAAGCCAAGTGGCTTCAGTGACCGCGTTAGTTGCCCCCATGGCCATCTCAGGGGAAGAGCATTTCAGCTAAGGGACAAACAGAGCAAAGGCCATGGTCCCACAGTGTCTGGGAGACTTGGGACCAGCAGGACAGTGAGGCAACAGCAAAGAGGGAGGAGGGAAGGGGTAGGGAGGAGAGTAGGGCCATGGGACCAAACTGCCTATGGCCCTGTCACCTTTGTGAAGGCCTTGACTGGGTGAGAAAGGGCTCTTCCAAGGGTTGGGAGCAGAGGAGCACAGTGTGACTCCTTTGGGATGGTGCTGTCTTCTGATGTAATGAATGGCATAAGTAAAGGCAGATGGAGACTAGTGAGGAGGCTCCCCTGCGACCCCCATGAGAAATATTGGTGGCGGGTGCCAGGACCCCAGCAGGGAGGCAGGGAGCGATGGCTAATGTGGCACAGACCAGCACGCACAGACACAGACTTGCACACACCCTCTTTTCCTGCCCCACTCCTGCCTGCTGAAGGGAGGGTGATGGATGGTACCTCTTCTTCCAGGCCCGACATCTCCTCCTTCTGGAATGTAAGGTGGTTGTCCTAGACCCTCTGGGCTCTTCTGTCAGAAGTGTTGCTATGGAGATCCACTGACAGACTTCATTTATCTCTAGCTTCCAGCTGGACTTTGAAGTAGAGGTACAGAGTGATTATTCTGTTGGGGTGGGGGGCGAGCAGGGGGAGCTAGAGTCCTTGCTTCTAGAAGCATAGGTTGACATCTGGTGTCTTTCTCAATCACTCCCCACTTTTCTTTTTTCTTTTTCTCTTCTTTCTGTGTGTGTAGAGACAGACAGACAGACAGACAGACAGACAGACAGACAGCTTTCAATTATACTCTTTAAAGGCTTAAGGAGGACACTGTGGATCTGTGTTGGAATGGATTTTTGAGATAAACGTTTTTCTTGGCTCTTTGCTCACAGTTTTTAATCTCCAGCCCTCTCTAGACACTAGCCATCTCTCTATAAATTATCTGGTTGTACTATACAGTCATCTAAAACTTCACTCATGACCAGGACAAGGAAAGGGACACCTCCTCCTGTACACACGAGCACACACACACACATACACGTGCACACATACACACATACACATGCACATATACACACAATCAAACACACACACATACACACACATACAAACACACACTCACACACATACAAACACACACTCACACACATACAAACACACACATACAAACACACACATACAAACACACACATACATGTGCACACACACTTTGCACACACATACATATACACACATAAACACACACACACACACACACACACACACACACACACACACACACACACGTGCACACACATTCCTATCATACCTAACCTTGACTTTTCACGGACTGCTCACAGAAAGAGCCACAGCTGAAAAAACAGACGTTCATTCTTGTATGGGGTTGTACAAAGGCCTGGGCCATGCAGTGTTAAGATGGTTTAAAGTATGCTATGACCATGCTTGATGGCCTTTTCCATGCTGGCTTTGGGATTTTTTTTCCTCTAGGAGAAATCACATTGCTTTGAGGGGGGGCGGGGGATAGTCAGCAAATGTCCCCTGGGTGCTCAGCACCAGAGCTCTCAGGACACAGGACTGCTGCTGTCTGTGGAATGACTGGCTCTCAGTCCCACCAGTGACAAAAGTCACCTGACCAGCATTTTCCTTAGTAGTAGATAATGTGCCTGGTTGACTAAAAGTCACTATCGTCGAGGATCGGAATGAGGTCTTTCCAGAACCATTGCTGTCTGTCACCAGTCTGGGTACACAGCCTCACTGTAGGGGTGGTGGCCCTCGGGCTGTAAAAGCTGTTCCCCTGGCAGACAGTGTTCCTCTAGATCAAACATGGACCTCACTTGGAGTCCCTGGGTGTCTTTACAGTACCTGGATGTGATCCCCCGGAGACTCTAGGAGATGGTGGCCACTCCCTCCATCATGACCCCCTACCCCTGTTGGGAAACCCAGGGCACAGAGTTTCTGGGACCAGCCGCACACTTTTCTTGCCACAGAAGTCCAGTGCTTGCTAGCATCAGCATGTACTCACACACACCTGAGGATCTCAGTTTGGGCTGGGAACTGATCTTGACCCACAGCAAGGGATGTAGGCTCACTGGTCCAGTGCACACAGCTCAGTGGTTCCCCCTCCCTAGCCCACAGATGCCACCACACTCCTTGGGTGGAGGGGATGGGGCAGCCCAACCAGTCAACCCAGAGCTGCACACACACACACACACACACACACACACACACACACACACACACACACACGGCACCTTCTAGAGAGTTCAAAGGGGTCTATGGTAAAAAAAAAAAAAAAAAAAAAAAAAAAAAAAAAAAAAAAAACAGTGGAAACACACTCACATCCCTGACAGTTCACCTTTCAGAAGTGATTTTGGAAAATGTCCTTGTCATGTTTTTTCCTCTGTATTTTTTTTCACATGATTAGATTCGATTTAAATTTCCTCAGTCTTAGGGATTCTTGTGCACTGATGAAGTATTTAAGACTCAGTTAGCTTTTAATGAGGCAAAAGTAATATTCCTTGCTGGGCGTGTGTGCTGTATAGTTTTATGTCAACTGGACTCAAGCTGAAGTTGTCTGAGAGGAGAGAGCATTTGTTAGAAAACACCTCCATAAGGTCAGGCTATGGGCAAGCCTGCAGTGATTGATGAGGAAGGGCCCAGCCCAGTGTGAGCACATTCACTCCTGGGCTGGTGGTCCTGGGAGCTGTAAGAAAGCAGGCTGAGCAAGCCATGTGAGCAGGCCAGTAGGCAGCACTCCTACATGGCCCCTTGCATCAACTCCTGCCTCCAGGTTCCTGCCCTGCTTGAGTTTCCGCCCTACCTGCATTCCATGATGAACTGTGACATGGAATTGAGAGTGAAATAAACCCTTTCCTCCCCAAGTTGCTTTTGGTCACGCTGTTTCATCACAGCAATAGAAGCACTAAGACAGAAATTGGTACCAGGAGTAGGACATTGCGGTGACAGACCTGACCATGTTTTGGGGAGGATTGTGGAAGGACTTTGAAACCCTGGACTAGCGAAGCCATCAAATGCTCTAACCTTGGTGAGCTGTCCTATGAGACCTTGGAAAATAACAGTATTGGGAGAACTGTAGGCAATGAAGGCCTGGCTTCTGAAGCTCCAGAGGGAAGTTTGAGGGTCCCTTAAAGACTTGATTGGATCCATTGCATATTTTGAAATAAGAATCTGTGGTTGGTCCGCTGGGGCTGAATAATCGACTGTGATTAACAAGAGACCAGAACCACCGAAGAGAAACCTTTGCTTTACTGGGACAATTGATGCCAGTCAGCTGGAGCTGAGAGATTGTTGGTGACTAAGAAGAGACCAGCATCACCCAGGTGAAGTCTTCTGGGAAGTGTTTCCTGAGAGTCAGCACACAGAAGCTGTGGTTCAGTGGCGGCCAAGGTTGTGCTGGCAGCTGAAAATGGTCATGTCTAAAAGTCTCCCAGGTGGTGCTGGTCTTGAAGGCAGGAGGCAGTCATGGTGCTGGTCTTGAAGGGGGTTGGCACTGGGAGGTGGCAGGAGTGGCCATTGGTGCAGGTAAAGCCAGAGTAGCAACTGAAGGCCCAAGATTGAAGGGGTCATGGAGAGAAGTTGAAGTTTTGACACCATGAAGAGAACCCAAGAGGGACTATTGGTGGAAGTCCAGCCTATTTGCAGGAGAAGGTCCCAGAGCTTTGGAGATGCCAGTATCATGGTACATAGTAATTTTTAAGTAGAAGAAAAAAATAAAAGAAAAAGAACAGAGCTCAAGAAGAACACTCCCTGCTGTCAAGGCTTCTAAAGCTACATGAAGGCACAAAAGATAGACAAACAGATCACCAGACAAAGCAGACATATGGACAATGATGCCCAACGAAGGTGTAAAGGTCAATGGCCAGGCATAGTACCTCATGGCTGTAATCTTAGCAGTCAGGAGACAGAGGCAGGTGGATCTCTGTGAATTTGGGTCTAGCCTGATCTACATAGTGAGTTCCAGGCCAGTCAGGGCTACATAGTGAGTGTCTATCTTATGAAAAGATCTCAAGTTTGAGGACAGCGTAAGCAATTTAGTGGATTCTGTCTCATAGTGTGTGTGTGTGTGTGTGTGTGTGTGTGTGTGTGTGTGTGTGTGTGTAAAGGGGAAGGGAGGGTTTTAGCACAGGGGTAGAGCTCTTGCCCAGAACACATGTGAGGCAATACTGCAAACAAATGGACAGAGACTGGAATTCAAATTGTTTGATGTTTGGGGATGCCCTGAGTGGTCTCATACATAGCCCCATCTCCCTTTTCCATCTGATGTCCAGCTGGGGTGTCGGCAGTTTCCCATCTAAACTCAGCTCATTAACTAGTTCTCGAAAAAATCTACTGGACACTTCATGGACCCACTGAGCTGCTTCTGCCTGTGGTGGCCAGGCTAGCCAGAGAACCAGGTATAGCCACAGCTGGAGGTCAAGAACATCAGTGAGATAGTCTGAGCTGTGCCTGGCCCTCTGGGTGACCACTTAGTGAGGACTGCCTGCTGCTCTGCTGGGACAGGCACCTGAGTGAGTCAAGGGGCACAGCCCAGTCTAACTGCTCCTTCTCCCATCCACTCCGGGTTCCACACCCTCTGGACCCATGGCTGGTTTTTCTGGTTTGGTCTCTAGAGCAATTTGCGTATTTCCTTGAAGAACCCTCTGAAGCCTAACAGCCTGTCCTGGGACTTAGAGAAAGGGACTCACACGTTGGTTCTCCAGAATTGGGTAAGGACCCTGGAGGTCACCTTTGTTGCAGATCCTCAGCATTGCCTTAAAGTGTCTGTCTCTCTCTCTCTAGCCTAGAGTCCCTATGAGGGGGGGCCATTGTCTGTCTGCCTTGGCATAGTCACCCCTATTTCCCCACCAGATACCCTGGTGGCTGATAACTGGTAAGTGCCAGTACATGCTTCTTAAATCAATAGCTGGTAGTTTGTATTGGGGATGAATACTTATAACTAACTGACTTGGACCCTAAGCAAAGACCTTTATGTTTCTCTATGTGCTCCTAGTGGAATTCTTTTGACTTCTGTTTCAAAATGATGTGGCATGTAAAGGAAGTTACAGAACTAATCCTGGAAGGTCCTGTATTCCCTCACCCTCTCTCTGTGAGGCCACTGGATTTGAACATGAGAAAAGCCTTCCCTGGACCATTGGGCCCTGCATGGTCACCATGACAACCCCCAGCCCCAGTGTCTCATCAGTTGGACCACCCTCCATGTCCAACCATTGGCAGAGCCATGGCTTCCCTGGACAATCTCTTTGATTCTTCAAAATCCTGTCTCTCTTCTGCCTGGAGGTCTGAGGCATGCTGTCCCTCTGCACAGGGCCTGCCCTTCTGGCCCACCCACCCTATCCGATTGGCTCTTGTTTGTTCTTCGGGTCTCCTCCTCGTCCCTGTCTTTTCTAACTCGGGCCACTCTCCATCTCTTATCTTACCAGTGCAGTGCTTATCAAAAAGGCCCACCCCCTTTTGGAGACAGGGTCTCACTAAGTAGCCCTGGCTGTCCTGGAACTCACTCTGTAGACCAGGCTGGCTTCAAACTCACAGAGATCCTCCTGTCTGAGTGCTGGGATTAAAGACGTGTGTCACCACACCCAGCTCTTTCCTGGCTTCTTTGATGTACCCGACCTGAGTGTGAAGCTTGGTTCCTCCCTTTCTTTTCTTTTTTAAGATTTAAGAAATTTTATTTTATGTGTATGTGTGTGTACCTGAATGTATGTATATGTACCATGTGTGTGCAGGTGCCCACAGAGGCCAGAAGGCACAAGATACCCTGAAGAGTTACAGGTGGGTGTGAGCTGCCATGTTCACAATGGGAACTGAATCCAGGTCCTCAGCAAGAACAGCAAGGGGTCCTAACTACTGGGCCATCCCTCTGGCCTCGCTCCCCTTCTCACTTCTGTGACTTTGACCAAGTTGCTTGACTATTGTGTCACTGTGTTTCAGTATGTTCTGATCTGTCTCCCAGCAGCAGGGAAGACTCTTCGTTCTTCAGCAAGTATGTTTGATGCTGACAGTATTCTAACCCAGAGAAAGCTAGAGGGAATAGCAAGGATGCCATCTGTCCCGAGGTTTACGTTCTGTTTGTATGCACGGGCAACCCGATCTGGGAAAATGCACTCTTTTAGTTATTAATAACCATTATTAAGATAGAGCAGAGTGGGGGGCTGGAGAGATGGCCCAGAGGTTAAGAGCACTGGCTGCTCTTCCAGAGGTCCTGAGTTCAATTCCCACATGGTGGCTCACAATCATCTGTAATGAGATCTGGTGTCCTCTTCTGGCCTGCAGGCAGACATGCAGACAGAACACTGTATACATAATAAATAAATAAATCTTAAAAAAAAAAAAAAGATAGAGCAGGCTTCTGGAAGAGATGGACAAAGAGACTTTAGGTGGTCAGTGACAGCTTCCCAGAGGAGGTAACATGTGATGGCCGGGGAGAGGGGGTGGATGTTCAGGTAGGGGGTGGGGCAGGTGCAGAGGAGAGGAGGAGAAAAGCTGGCAGGTATGAGAGCAGAAAGCCAGCCGGTGTGGTTAGGGAGTGAGGGACAAGACAGTCACCAGTCACCAGGCCACAAGATAGCGTTCTACAGCAGATGGCAGCAGGATGGAGCATGCAAGCCAATGGTTCTCACCCTGTTTGGGATGACATATCAGAGTTACATTACAATTCATGACAATAGTAAAACTGCAGCTATGAAGTAGCAACAAAATAATTTAGTGGTTGGGGGAGGGGTGGCCTTACCATGAGGAGCTGTATTAAAGGGTCGCAGCATTAGGAAGGTTGAGAACCACTGATGTAGACCGTCATGGGGAAGCCTCTAAACAGGAGAGTGACAGGATCAGTGTATATGATACAAAGGCCACTAGGCCACCATGTAGAGAATGCTTTGGAGGGGGTCAGCAGAGCACTGTGGAGAATGAGCTGGTGAGTTTGGCCTGAACGGAGCTTTCACTGTGCCTGGCACGTCCCTCCTCCCCCGTGGTTAGGAGCCAGCTGGCACATGCTTGTCTGGTCACAGGCTGCTTTTTCTTCAACAGAGAACTAACTGGGGCTCCCCAGATACCAGTGCAGCACAGAACCATCTTGGGCTCCCCTGGGGAACAGGTGCAATTGCCACTGCCTGCAAATGGCACAGAGCAGAGATTGCTGGAGCTGCTGGCAATGTGACCCTCAGTCATACTACTTGAAAACCCCTTCCCCACCACCATGTTGGCAGCTGGTCCTCAGGACTGGCCTGAGCCACTTAATCCAGCCTGGATTCCTAGAGCAACTTTGGTAAAGGTCTAACCTCTCTGGGCCTCAGTTTCTCCATCTGAGACAAGGAAGATTTGCGTGCTGGGGTAGAGGAGAGAAGTAGAGGCTTGGAATCAAAAGTCTGAGTTGGGTCTCATCAGGCCACCACACCCAGTGGTATTCATTTCTTTAACAAGTACTATGTAGTGTGAGCCCTGGTCACACATAGGCTCTGTTGTTGGTGACTGAGGAGTGGCTTCCCCAGGCAGCCACATAGTCATTTGTCGGTGAAGAACTTCTGAGGATGGTGAGGCTAAACTGCCAGGGTCTCCTCTCTATCAGGTGGAGGGGGTTGGAGGTCCCTGAGGGGCTGAAGCTTGGCTGTCTGGGGTACATCGTTCCTTGGATCTTTCCTCCTGCTCCTTGCTTGGATGCCTGGCTGGAGCTGGCTTAGCCCCCTTCTCCTGCCTTCTCCCTGGGGAGTGAGGGAGAACTTCCCTGTCTCCCACTCTCTCTTCACCCATCCCCATGAGGTGCACACCAAGCACATGGATCTAAAGTACACACCTCACGGTTGTCCATCGTATGTACACACACGTAACCACCACCCAGGCCAAGATAGGGAACCTTTCCATCACCCAGAAGCCTCCGGGTGTCCCTTGGAGGCACCGTTTCTGTCTTCTGTCACTGCTTACTGTTTCTTACCTACATGTGTGGCTTTCTGCTGACTGTCTTGTCTGGGGTGTTTCTGTTATGATGGTTCCCAGGAGTCATTCTTTTTCATTGCTCTGTAGCATTTCCATGGTCATGTGACTCGATCTACACCCTCTATCATGAGTGGTCATTTGGGCTGTTTCCAGTTTGGGACTATGGTCACCCCTTGGTGTCCATGTGGGGATTGGTTGTAGAACCATTCGCAGACACCCCGAATGTGGCAATGTGCTAGTCCCCTTGTCTAAAGTGGCATAGTATTCACGAAGAAGCGGACTTTGAGTCATCTTTAAATAGCATATGTATATAGTTGTTACTCTGCATTGTTGGGGGATAATGACAATGACAAGGATATATGTATATGTCTCAGTACAGAACCAACTATCAGTTATTCTGTGTGTGAGCAAGTGTGTACATTCCTGTGTGTGCACATACAAATGCTTACATGTGGAGGTCAGAGGTCAAGCTTAGGTGTTTTCCTCAATCCCTCTCCACCTTATTCTTTTGAGACAATCTCTCTCTCACTAAGCCTGAACCTCAGCAGCTCAGAGTGAGCATGGTTGGCCAGTGAACTCCAGTCACCTGCCTATCTCTGTGCCTGTCCTCCTCTGCAGAGGCTGGCCTCAAACTCACAAAGATCAGCCTGCCTTGGTCTCCCAAATGCTGAAATTAAGGGTGTGCACCCCTCCCCACCCCTCCCTGGCCTGTACATGAATAGAGCTGATCATAGTGGCCTAGCCTGTCATCCCAGCGTGGGATGCAGAGGTGGAAAGAGTGTGAGTTCAAGGTCATCTTCAGCTACATAGCAAGTTTGAGGCCAGCCTGGGCTGCAGGAGACCCAGCTCAAAACAAAACAAATGAAGGTACACCATCCAGTCATCATCCAGGTGACACTAATGTGTTTGTCTCTTCTTCTATGGTTGTTGTTCTGTGGTCTCACTGTGTAGCCGAGGCTGACTGGGAACTCTTGGTCCTTCTGCCTTGGCCTCTCTCATACTGGGATGACGGGCAAGCACCATCACAGTTTACGATGAATGATTTTCGTGTCCCTTTGAGTAGCCATCTACCGTACCCTGGAAGCTTCTCACAGGGATGCTCTCTTACAGGGCTGGGAATGGCCACATCGAACAGGCCACACTCGAGGCAGCCTCTGACCGCAGAGCCAGCTGCAGAAGCAGTGTCTCAGCCCCTGGGCCAAGAGCTGACCGAGGCCAACCGCTTTGCTTATGCCGCCCTCTGTGGCATCTCTTTGTCACAGCTGTTTCCAGAACCTGAACAAAGGTGAGCTTTTCTGTCTCTCAGAGGAAAGGCCAGGCTTCTTCAGGGAGGTGGCACCCAATTAGCCAGTTAGCTGCCAAGCCCCACAGGCAACCACAAGCCTCGGGGCACATCCTTTTCTCCAGAAACCATAGTCTAAGAGGGGGATAAGACACCTCTTGTTTAGTTATCTTTCATGGATGCTGTCTCCAAGCGTCCTTTGAGTTCCTACTGGATGCCAGGCACAATTTTCAGTTCAGGGAAGGCATTGTGTATTTGATAAATGAGACAAATCCATTCCTCCCCTCAAATAGGTCACTGTCGATAGAAGACAAGAGATGTACTCATCCATAAAAATGTGTGTTTATTGAGCACTTACCATGTGCTGGACATAGTGCCAGGCTTGTAGATGAAACTGGAAAGCATGAGACCTGGCTCCTGAGCCCATAGTCCTGGGGGACACCACCCCCAATAGATGTGACAGTGGCAAGCAGAGATGAGAAGGAGTGCATGTATGTATTTGAAGTCTGTCACTGCTGCTGCCCACCCGGTGTGGGCTTAAATCATGCATTTGGCAGCAGTTTAGTGGGATGGTTAGGAGGCCACGATTCAGTCTGCAAGGACGGGGGTTGGGGCAGTTTGGAGACTGAAAGCAGCATGAAGAGAGGGCGCAGCAGGGTCTTGTTAGCCGTATGGCAGAGCTGATGTGAGAACCTGCTTGATGCTAGCTTGATGTTAGGGAGAAGCAGGAGCTAACCTGCTAACCTGAGGAAAGAGAGAGGCCTCGAGACAAGAAAGGTCCCTGTGGAGGGAACCACACAGTCTGATGTTCCCCAAACACTAAGTGGCCTCCTGAATGTACCTCCTGCTAGCCTGGGGTGGCCTCTGAGTGACCTTCCCCAACCTGCCTTCACCCCATCAGGGCAATCAGGGCCCACTTCCCCAATCCGCTGTGGATTGCTTCCCAGACCCACCACCCCTGCACCCTGAGATCCTTGGAAGGCAGAAGTCACCTTGGTCACCTTTGAATCCCAAAACCTTCCCACAGTTCAATGGAGCCCTGGCCCTCCCTGAAAAAAAAATGACAGCAATTGCTGGCTTCAGAAGCAAGGGAAACTTCCAGGGATTCATGCTCGGCTCTCATCACAGCCTGTGACTTTGGGAGGGTGACTTGAGCAGAAAGGCAGCAGCAGTTTGACTTTGCATCTGTAGGATAAATATCACAAGGCTCAGCAAACAGTAGGTGCTCAATACATAGCTATAAGTGTTTACCAAGTCTACGCCTTACTCCCTTTGCCCTAGTTTGTAGCAAGCCGTCTTCTGTCCCATCAGCCAGCTCCCAAATAACAACTCGTAGACTTCTTATTAATTATGGAAGCCCAGCCTTAGCTTAGGCTTGGCCTGTTAACTCTTATAACTTAAATTAACCCATTTCTATTAATCTACATTTTACCTCATAGCTTTTTACCTTTCTTTCATCTCCCCCTCTGTCTGGTGACTCTACCTCTCTTCGTTCCGGAGCCTTCTCTGTCCTCAGAAGTCCAGCCTAACCTCTGCCTGACCAGCTATTAGCCATTCAGCTCTTTATTACTCCAGTCACACTATGTACAACTATCCTACAACACTAGTTTCCTCAGACTATGATGATAACAGTACAACCTGTTTCTGCAAACAGGGTACTTTGGGGTACAAGTCCTACAACACAGAACTCAGAGGAAAGAAGTGATAGATTTGTTTTCCTTATGTGCTAAAAAGAAACAAAAACAAAGGTGGGTAATTCCCAGTTGATGATCTGCCTCCATAGGCACGTGCTTATTTATAAGATTCCTGATCACAAAATAATAACAGGACTTCTGTCTGTCTTTTTTAATCTGCCCCTCACCTCCACCCCTGCCCCAAGGCTTCCTTTTGTGCCACTGGTTAAATCCATGGTCAAGCCTCAGCCTTGGGGTAGTGGTAGGGTTATAAGTATTTAACAGTTTTTGCCATCATGAGACACAACTGGCACTGCATTGATGTCCCAGGAGCAGCATGGCAGGGGATGTGTGTAGATGGCCTCTGCAGAACCTGGCTCAGAGCCACAGCCCTGCATCCCTCTGGGCATGGTGGCATGGGATTGCAATCCCAGCACTTGTGATCTGAAGGCAGGAAAATCAGGAGTTCAAAGTAATCCCCACCCACATAGTAAATTTGAAGCCAGCCTGGGCTAAGTTAGCCCCTGTTTCAAATGATGATGGCAATGTCGTTATCGTTGCCATAGCCTCCATCTGGCGGTGAGAAACATCCTGGGTACTGTGTTCCCAGGCATCTCAGTTAATCTCTGTTGCTGTGACAAAGCATCAGGACCAAGGCAACCTATGAAAGGCAGAGTTTAATTGCTCTCTCGGCTTCAGAGGGTGTGAGTCCATGACTGTGAGGCACAGGCATGGCGGCAGGAACAGCGGAGAGCTCAAGTCTCAAAGCCACATGCAGGAGGCAGAGGGCATAATGGGGATGGCAGGAGGCTTTTGAGACCTCAGAGCTCATTCCCAATGACACACCTCCCTGAACAAGGCCACACCTCCTAATCCTTCCCCAACAACCACCAACTGGGGACCAAGCATTCAGGTGTCCAAGACTTATCAGGGACATCTCGTGCAAACCACCACACCAGACAAGTTCATGCCCGTCTCCTGCAAGAGTTCAGCTCAACACCTGCTCTGTCCCTTACTTGTACCAAGCCTGGGAAGCCAGCATCTCAAAAGCTTCCCTAAGCAGATAAGTGATGGGGACCCGTCCTTTCTGTATGCACCTCCACTTCAGATAAGCCAGATGGCACCCCACACGACACACACCTCAACCACCATCACCTCCATCACCTCCACCACCTCCACCACCATCACCACCACCACCATCACCATCACCATCATCACCATCACCACCATCATCACCATCACCACCATCACCACCATCACCATCATCATCACCATCACCATCACCATCA